TCAAAAGATGCTTGGTTGCGCTCGCACGAATACGTACTGAATTCCTTTGACCTATATTTTTTCGAATTTCACTATTGAAACAAATAATTGCCAAACGAATAATCTGTTTACGAGTTCACAAAAACGAAGATGAAAAAATAATTTTGCAACTTGTCTCAAAAGGAAAGATAATCTATAAAAGAGACGCGTCCCTTGCCGCGTGTGTAACAACAAGAGAAGCTGAGGCTAGAAAGGCGGCGCGAGCTCGCGCGTCAAAATTCCATTTATCTAGCTGCAGCGGCGTAACGAGAACAAGAGTTGATTCAAATGAGATTTTTTTGTGCCTCGACTCAATGCCATTGCCAATTGTATAGCTATCCGCGCGTATACAATGCACATATTTCACCGCGAATCTTGTTACTTTTTTCTCTGAATATGAAAGTTATGTACACACACACACACACAGACACACTCACGCATTGCAAATAAGTCGTCGACACTGCGCCATACGCGTGAATCACTCTATATTCTCGCTCGCTCGTGAAAAAAGTTGGCGTAATTCATAATCGCTCGATAAACAAAAACATCAATTGTACGCACCGAAAGCTTGGAGTATTTATCAAGAGCTTTAAAAAAAAGCAAACACACATTCCCGCATTGTGAATTCGTGCTCGCGCGTGTGCGGAGATCAAAATGAATGAGATTTTAACAAGTTTTAAGAAAATATAGATAATGAAACGCGACGATCGATCGATCAATTTTTCATTCGATTGGAGCATAATGACGAGATACCCTTTCAAATGGGACGAGTCGAGTTTAGCCGATACGACGCGCGCTGTCACATTAATCGCGCACTTTCTATTTATCGATTCATTTAGCCGACGATGGTATTAGCTTTTAGATTGGATATATGCTAATTTTGCAATAAATCCCTTATATAATAACGATGCCCTTGCATTATGAGATGCCACATTCATCTATTTTATTGAATTTTTCAAAAGGTTTTTTTTCAATTATGAGTCAAAGGACGTGAATATCCAAAGCTTGATAATCCGATAACTTGGCTTTTTATAGGCGACACGTAAAAGTGTCTGTTCTGCATTATTTACATTTTAGTCAAATATTTATAAAAAAATGAACTAACAAATTACAGAGTGTTTATAAAGTCTATAGCAAAGCAGGATAATAGGCAATCGAAGATGTTTATTTAATACGCAAATACTGTGACCAGTTTGTACGAGCTGTGAATCACAATGAGCATTAGAAAGTCGTACAGTCGTTTCGCCGATTCGATAATCGGTATTCCCCGGGTACGAAGGGTGACTAAACACTTTGAAGCCGCGCACTTATTTGCTGGAAAGAAAATCACACCTTCGATACTGATCGCGATAAACCGAAGAATAAACACATTTTCGACTAAATTAAATTAGAATCTTGGGAACAAATCGTAATTAACAATTTCACTGTATTGACTGTACTGTCTGGCGGTGAGAGCTTTGATAACATTGTACTCTTTGATTAAAGCCGTTAAATTATTCATAAACCTGTATTTGTCGAATCAACTTGAAAGAGTAAGAAAAGGTTGCAATTTTTTATTATTAGCTCTAATTAGTACTACGTATACACTTTTGACGTAAAACAGTATTCGATTTTCAAATAGAACATAAAAAAGATCTATGACACAGTCCATGAAGTAATATCCTGTTTTCAATATCTCTTTTAATTTTCATAGAAATTTATCATTACCAATAAATCCGCCCTCATATAGATCAGCTTGCGGCTGAACAAGCAATGGTCGCACAAATCTGCTCGCATCCGAACAAAGGATTCCACAACGGGCCCAAATAAACAAAACGAAAATCACGCATGTATTCATAATATAATATAGGCGCGCGCATATGTGTATACATATTCGCGTGCACTCCGCGCGCGTATAATATAAGTATATACGACGACGTATATAGAGCGATTAGAAAGTAAAAAGTTCCTGTATGTGTAAGTCTTTGGTCGCGAGCCTCGAGGCTCGCAGCAGCAGCCAGTTCAGCCGCGGGCGTAATGGAATCTCAAAGAGGTGAAATAATACACCGGTTCGCGAGCAGCTGAACGGCAAAAAATCGCCGCATGCTAGACGCTTCTGGACCGATCTGTATATATACGGATGAAATGCAAATTATAAAACAGCTAGATGTGCCGACGATCCGAAATGACCGATTCAGTCTCTGTATTCGATCGATATATGGAGTAGCACTTTTCAAAGCCTCGGCTAAAAAACACACGCACAATCGTGTACATAGCTATGTGTGGCTTTATACACGCACGAGAGACAATGCCCGAGCGAATTGCGAAAGCATAATTCCAGGCGTACGCGCGCGTGGCCTGCGCTCCGTTGTTGTCTTGGGTATATCAGCAGCACCCATATAGCCAGGCCATACTCTCCAAGTGTCTTGTAAAAAGAGAATATCCTGTATGGGTGTATATAACGATTTACGCGTGTACGCCAGCAGCAGCTTATGGCAAATGGACTCGAAAAAGGTCAGTGCACGACGCTCGAGCGGCGTTTGCCAATCGCGCGTCTATGTAATATGTATATACGCACTGCTTCTGACGCTGCCGCTTTTGTCGTTGTCGCTTATGTATGCGCGATGATTTGGAAACACACATGACCGTACGCGAGCTTGTTTTAAAAACTCCGTGACTGCGAATCTCTTATTATTTAGCTTCTCGACGGGGTGTTTCCCGAAACTACTTTCCGCGTCTATAGGTGAGCTTTTCGGCTCTCGGCGCGACGTCGCCCCGGAACCAAAACCATTTTAATTTTTTCTCGCGAGCGTCAATATCGCGTTCGTCAGCTTCCTCGGCCAAATTGAATCGCGGCAGCTTGCACGTGTATAATACATGTGGGTACGTATACGCGAACGTGCATACGCGCATATTAATTAAAATTAACGTGCCTACAAGGCGAAAATTAGAAATGTTGTTCGGCACTCCGCGTACTTTATACTTTCACTTTCGCCGCGCGGTGCACTGCTGCCGCTGCCGCTGCTGCGCCGAACGAGCGAGCGAGCTGGTGCACCGGTGGCGGCGGCGGCGGCGGCGTGCAGCTCAAAAATTTAACACATCGGAAGTACTCAAACACATCCATGCCGCGTGCTGCAGCAGTCTCTTTATGCACGCGGCATGCACATTCGCGCAGAGGCATACATATGCCTTTGCCACTGCCGTGCTATGTGTGTGTAGTGTGCGAAATAATAACAATTTTATTTTCTTTTACATGTAGCTCGAGTACTGATTTCAGTCGTTGAACTGCCTATTCCAATGTACCACCACACGCTGCACGCTCCTTTCGATGCTTCACGCAAGCATTTCCATAATATAAATTACAATAAAAGCGATATAAAACGAGATGATGCTGCGTGCCAATGAATTTCTAATCGCGATCCTTTGCCGCATTATTTTATTGATGATAATTGAAACATATCGGAACGCAGCTTTTATCATTGGCGCCAATCACCGATGAGATGCCTGCTTGAAATTTCATTGCCGATTTCACGACCGAGAATGAGTGAGAGAGCTTTTACGCTCGATTTTAGACGCGTATTTCCTCATACTTTTCAAACGCCATGCCGTAATAGGATAACAAAAAAATAAAATCATTAACTCCTCGGCATTGAGTGACTTTAATTGAAGGTAAAATAAAATACTTTAATTCAGCTGTCCTTCGTTGAATCGAGTTCGGCCCATCATCATCGTCGTCGTCGTTGTTTTTGTACTCGTATATAAAAAAAAGTCCCACAGCCCCGCGATCGGAATTGTCTTTCTCTCGTGTGCGAGTAAAGCTGACATATAATAACTCAATACGAAAAGTTATGTGTGGCGGAGCTGCAACGATACAACACGTATAGCTGCTGCCTAGCCCACGACGACCTACAACGAATCGACGTGTGGATGTTGTATATCGAGACTCTCGAGGTATATCCGCGCGCGACCTTGGCTGAAAAATCTCTCGCGTATGTGAGCTTTCGCGCGCGCTCACGCAAAACACACAAACACACACACACACACATACACAGACTCGCGTACACGCGACTGGTATAGAAGAGACCACCGCGACTCGGCTCTCGTATACACCCACGATTATTGTACGATTTTTTTTCGTCTCGCTTTTGCATATTACGACGACGCGTTACAATAATATGTGTAACAATGAGATGAAGTATCGGAGGTACCTACGTGCGCGAGAGAAGAGAAGAGTAGGAAAAAGACGCGCGTCGGTGAATGTGTATGGTATACTTTCGCTTTTTTCCCGTGTAAGTGTCAAGTTCGAAATGAGAAAATTTATACGCTTACGCGCAAGTACCGATCTCGGTGCGGTGGTCCTTTTTACACTTTTTACACATTCGCTCGCATTATAATACGTACGTACACACTCGTATACATTCATCGAGAATAAATGAGAAAAGTTTGGCTTTATACCCGTGTGCGTATACTTGTGTGTATATGTGTATGTTGTAGCATAATACGTGTGGAGATAGAGCGGGTTTATACACGAAGCGGAGAAAGAAAGAGTAATATAGCTTATAGCAGGCAGGAGCAGACCGAGAGTAGCAGCAGACCCCCCCACCTCATGGTTGAAAAACGGCACAAGTGCGCTCGTCGCCGCTGCTGCTGTTGGGGCCCGGTCTTTCTCTCTCTACAGCCCCGTATAGAGTCCCTCTTTCTCTCTCTCTCTCTCTCTCTCGCCAGAGCTCGGCTATAGGTTATAAAGGACCGTTGCTGCTCCAATCTGACTGCACTCTACCAGTGAAACTCAGCGAGGACCGTTTATACGTTATACCGATCGTATACACATCGTTATACGTATAGCATACATCGGTGCTTCGAAATCTTTCCTCTTCAAGTTTTTTTTTTTAAACTGTTTACCTGTATACAAACGTGCGACCCTCCCGAATCAGTGTGACAGGTGATCGCCGCTGTTTTTTCATTTTTGTTTGATTTTGTTAGTGCCTTCAGATAGATCCAACATGAAGATCACATTTTTGGTAAGTTTAACTTTGACATTTCTCAATAATTTCTTTCGACTGCTTTCATTCCTTCTTTCTGATCGGATGCAATATATTATTCAATCGACTCGAGTAAATCGTTTTACCTTTGGTCATGAGTGATGCGTCAAAAAATTACGAGTTTCTTTTTCATGTTTGGACAAAAAAAACTACTAATAATTGAGGGCTTGTGACGTTATGCATGAGTGATGTTGCGTTTCATATGTATCAGCGACTGTCGTTAAAAAAAACTTTTATAGAAAACGTCGATGGGGCAAAAATACAATTCGATCGGCTTAGCGAACGATACCGATCTCCGCGCGAACGCGTGCGAGTCAGCTTGCAGAGCTCTTGTAAGTGCACATAATACCGGCATCTCTCCTCGCGCCGTAATCTTTTAATTTTACTTACTCTTGCTCTGAGGCAAGAAAGGGTCCATTACTTTCTTCTCTCTCTTTCTATGTGAACGCGCGAGCTCGTGTAACGTACGTGCGAGTGTAGGCCATAGCGAGCATACGTAAACGAAGGTATTATAGGCTCGCACACGCGCGCGACTCAACACACAAAAAAGCCGCGCGATTATGTGTGCATGTGCGAGTATAAGCGAGAGCATGCACCTTACGCTTTGGAGAGTCTCGGTCGGAGATCGGTTCGTTCGTTCGTTCATCGTCGATCTTCGACTTTCACGCGAATTCTCAGGTCTCCTTTTTACAATCGACATTGCGCGCACTTGCACACACACACATAGGACGACTATGTTCATATATACTCTCTTACACACACAGGCATATATGTATACACTTATACTTTCGTTGTCGTTTTTTCCCTTATCTATCTTGGCGCATGATGCTGCCGCCGATGCTTTTTTTCCACATGCTCGTTTTACGATCTCTTACGCAACGTAGCGCACTTATACACTTACAAATGTATGTACATTTCATATATAAATAAGCAAATGTGTATTTGTATACAGATGCTCGAGCAAAGACGTATCCACACACACCGATACACGCAAAAACACTCGGTAATACGTACACACAGACACACTGCAGAGACGAGGTATATATTGGCTTTGCGAAATTTTCACCGATTTTTTCGCTACTCTCTCGCAACTCGTAATTGTGCGCTCGTCATATATACGCTATATATGCGCCGCGAGAGAGTAGCTGCTGGCGCACAAGCGTTTATAGTAGCTCGAGGTATACATGTAGGATAGAGAGGTTGCCGATCGCGTACGTGTGCTTTTAAGGGGCAAAGGACTCGCGTGACTCTCGGTTGATCCATGCTGCTGCCGCTGCCGAGGCGAGCGCGGATGAAGCTCCCGTGGGATTTATTCGTTATAAATATACACGTGCATGCAGCTCGTGGCAGATGAAGCAGTAGTAATAGCAGCAGTTGTAGTAGAAGTCGGTGTTAACGTTACTTGGGTCTTATTTCGCGCCGCGATATCGAAAACACACACTCGCACGACCCGGAGAGCCGACGATTGTATTTGTAATAAATTTTGCACCAGAACGACAGATCAAAACGTTTTCCGTGCGCTCGCAGTTCGGCCATGTGAGTGTGTGTTCACATCGCTGCATTGCACACTCACACACACACACACGTAAATCAGGGCTTTTATTTATAATACTGCACTGCACGCTTCACAGACTCTTGGAATAATATATGTATAGAGACTGCGAGGCGCGCAGTCTACGCCGAGAGAGTCGAAGTTTTATGTAAACGATATAGACGAGCGGACTAAAATTATGCGAAAGTGAACTTTTGTCTCCGCCAAGTATTATAAAGAAAATGTTCTCTCTCTCTCTCTCTCGCTCTCTGTCTGCTGTGCGCATACCTGTAATTCATTACGCGACCGCGACTTATAAAAGTTGAGGAAAACTCACGTGGCTGCTGCTGCTGTCGTTCGTCGCTTCTTGCTCTTTTTTCCTCTTCGTTTTCTTGGAAAATAAACAAAATAGTGTCTAATTCGTGCTCGTAAAAACTAACCTTCCTCATATTAAAAATAAAACAAAAAATAATAGTAATAAAAAAGAAGCGAGCGCAGGAAACTTTCTTAAGTACATTATAATATTCGTGCGCGGAAAGCTCAGTCGACGACGCGACGACGCGCGGAAATTAGCATGCCGCTCGCGCCTCACGCTCGTCTCGTTTACAATCCTCCTTCTTCCAGCAGCGGCAAGCAATAGCCCATTAAAAGGCCAGCAACGCAGTTTTTCCGTGAAAATGAGTACAGCTTCTCCAGGAGCTGCCTCTCGGTATACAAGGATCGCGTCTTTATTGTTGTTCTTCGGCGAGTGAATTCGTCTATAACTATGCGTTAACATCGGAAAAGTGTTGCGGTAAAAACATTATTTTTTCAGGCTTACGTACGGCGTTTTTCGCTGTTCTGTCTCGGGTGAAAACCCATACATACCAGTACGTACGTATACGCACACACGAGTAAAAAGGCGAAGGAAAAAAAGGCGCTTCATTGTATCATACACGGACACGAAGTATACGCTCGTGCATACCTTATAGACCGCGATATGTGTAAAGCGATCGGTGCGTGTCGACGCGTATTACTACGTGACGCGAATCTGTCGCGCATGTATCTTATGAACATGCCGCGCACACATCCGCGATATTTGTCGCAGTCCACTGCGTGTCGCAAATATAAACATATTAATTTATTAATACATGTGGCGTATACATTTATATGGAAGTCTTGAGTGCGCTGCTAGTGGCTAGAGAGAGAGAGAGGATTGCGTAAATTAATAATGCGTTTTCACTGGATTGCGTCGCTGCCTGGACATTGACATTGCGTTCGCGTGCAGAGTGTGTGTATGTTCGCAGCAGCAGGAAGGCAATTGCGCCAAGTGACTTTATGAGCGCGCGCTAAGAGAGAATATTGACCCGTGCGTGCGTGAGTAACGAGCCAAATAGTTTTCACCATGAATATACACAGCAGCAGCAACAGCAAAAGTCGTAATGTAGCGGATTATCGATAGCGTTGATCGGCCAATTGACAGTATGTGTGCGCGCGAGCGTGTATATATATACTGCTGCGCAACTGCTGCATATAAACACACACGTGTGAACACGTACCCACACATGCGTGTTATATTTCTATACAAGTTTGCAAAACGTGTTTACGGTGGCCGAATGCAAATTGACGAATAACCGCCTGCCACTGTATGCGTGTGCAACAAATAGTACAATGTGTGAACTTTGCCAAGAACTTTATTACCGACAAATCATGATCAACAAAGTTCGAGAGCTGATGTTTTTATGACCATCGGGTCCAGTGCCACGAGCGCGCGCATAAAAGATCGGTATGCGCGATCAGCGTGTATTTGCGTGCATACCCGGGCTGGTTCTTTCCTTATCAGTCAGCGCTCGAATCTTCGTCGTCGCAAAAATGCAATCACATACATTATTTTAGATTCAAATTTGAAAAAATAAATTATTTAAAATAAATATTGTAAAAGTTTGATTGCAAATGAATTGTTTAATGATACAAAAAACATGAAGATACAATTATAATTAATGCCAGCATCCACCACTAGATGGCGAGTACCTTTATCTGTTTAAATCTACAAGTGGCCAAGTCAAAAAAACTCTATAAGTCAAAATACGGTATTTAACGAAAATACGCGCTTTTCTTAAAGGATTCAATACAAAGCTCTGGATCAGCTCCAAAAATATATAAATGCACTCATGCCCTACTACACCCAATGGAAAATCAAGATCAACGAAAACAAAACGGAGCTTATAGTATTTTCCAAAAGAACGAGGAAAGAAAAAACCTTTACACTCGCTATGAATGGTACCCAAATTGAACAAATAAACAAAGTAAAATACCTTGGTGTAATACTAGATAATAAATTAAACTATACAGAACACATAAAACATGTAATCAAAAAAACCAACACTACCAAAGCTTTACTATATAATCTGATAAATAGAAAAAGCGAGCTAAACCTAAGAAATAAACTTACACTATACAAAGCTATAATCAGACCTACCATTACGTATGCATCACCTGTCTGGGGCTCTACTTGCCCTACAAATATCAAAAAACTACAAATAATACAAAATAAAACTCTAAGGATGATTACAAAAGCCAAACCGCGCTCAAAAAACCTAGACATACATAACACATGCACCATTGACAAAATTAAAACACATATACACACCTTAACTAAAAACTTCTTTGAACAAAAAATTAAAAACCATGGAACATTAAAAAACCTCGGAAAGTACAATAAATCAAACGCACCCTTCAAAATGAAACATAAGTTACCACATCACATATTAATTACTTGATACAAACACAAATGGCTCTCAACCAAGCAATACACAAAATCTTTGTTTTAAAATAGTTAAACGTTACTAAACGTATTGTAAATAGTTAGATTAAGTTTATTCATTAGTTTTAAGGCAGAAAATTCATATGGTTTTTTCAAAAAATGTTTATTTTTTCCATAAATACAAAATAATATCACCAATGTAAATAATTTTCATAAACTAGCCACAGCAAGGCTAAAGCAAATATGTATCAACAATTACGGCTAGTGGAAACACGGGCGCCTACATTATCTACAAAAACTTTATTCATTGATTTAAGTCGTGCTGATCACGCAAATGTAATACACCATCATAATAAAAACATATATAAAAACAAAACAAACAAAAACAAACGAAAATACGCACCTGGGTATTTAGCAAAAATGACTTTGGAATTTACATATTTACAATATCATAGTCGTATGTGTCACATAGACCAAGCGTATAAGCTTTCGTTAAAAGTCTCCGCTTCTGTCTCTTTTGAATCGACGCCCGTAAGTAATAGCGCAGATATGTGCATTACGCGCGCGGACATACTATAAAGTGCTTCAACATATGATATAGCCTAATTACCCATTCTTCGCTTATATAATCGATCAAGTCCCTCGAATACGTACACATGCAGCACATGCTGCACCGGGATCAGTATTATTACATGGCTCTCGAGG